ACTCTTGTTTGGAAAAATCTCAGCTTTCCTTGCCAGAATACTCTGTTTTTCAGGTTGAACAGTTGTTTACTTTTCTGACTGTATTGATTTAGTAAGGAGAGCTTTCAGGTTGGCTGAACTGGAGATGCCTGGTTATGATTTTAATACCTGTTTGAACATAAAAGCAGGTTTTTCTCTGGAGTCTCAGGTAACCATTATGGAGTGGTACAGCCACTTCTTCCAAAACTGTCATGCTAGTCTGATGGAGAATCCAAGTAACAGTGACCATGCAGGTGGGTTTGTCAGCCTCAGCTTGCCACTGTGTTCCAGCTCAGGTTTAGTGGGATGGGCAGGCATTAGTTTCTCAGAACACTGGTAAGGAAGGAAAGAACATGGTGCATTTCAGTAGAAATTATCATCCTTCAAATCTAACCAGTTCCTAAGCTGACTGTGGTACATTAAGCAGCCATACCTTGTCTTTACAGTCTGTGAAATTAAGCTTAGTCTGCCATTATTAAACTGTTAAAAATTGAGCAAGAGACTGATACTTGCCCTGAAGAACTGACTGTTGCCAGTGTTTTCCTCAGTCAGTTGAATCACTGTTTACTTTCTGCCAGTACTGGATGTGCAGCGTGCTGTGTGCCTGGTGTCCTTTCTGTAAACAGCCGAGGCATCTTGCTGGTTGTGAACAGTGCTGTGCTCCCCAGCACCTGCCACCAGACATTGTTTCTGTTAAAAAGAAGATCTGCTGTGCTTATTTTTTTTTTTTTAAGTTTCTTCAATACCAAGTTAATAACATGAAAACCAGACACACTACAGATAGTGCCTAATGGAGAGAAAAGTTGGCAGATCTTACACAATACAAGTGCTGAAAAGTCTGTTTTAAGGCTGCTGCTAATTCCTGCTAGCATTATTGAATGTGGGACAGTGTGTGCACTGACAGTGTCCTTCAGGGTTATGAATACTTCAAACTCCTGTTTAATGAGGCTTTGCTTTGTCAGCATTTGTTCGTTATCCCAGCCTGGTTAATAGCAGTATCAGCAGGTGAATTACTGTGACCTACTTAACCAAAAAATAAAAATGTCTGTGCTTCTTTTCTTAGACCTTATTTCCAGTTTGAAATCGAGCACAGTGGCTAAAGGTTGCACATGGCCTGGTTAAGATAGGGATTGATCTTAACTGTAGCACTGAACAACTTTAAATGTGTCTTTCTTTGCCTGTGGAACAGGAAAATACTCACCTTGCTTCAGGAATGGGGCTAATGTTGGATGAGGAATCTGCCAGGCTAGGAATGTTGCTGGAATCAGCCATTCCCTTCTTTTTTTTTTTTTTTTTTTTTGGTTCCCTTTTTTTTGTCCCCTTTGTTTCCTTCTTGTAGAAATTGTGATGTTCTGAATTCTTTAGCATTAAACCTGCCTTTACCTTTGTGGAACTTCCCAAGTTTCATGTTCCCAGTCGTAGTAATGTCCTTTCTTGGCTTTTATTTCTCTGAAGTCACACAAAGTCTGGGGAATTTTACATCTGTTGTGCAGCAGTTTGACTTTGTCTTCTGAAGTTCATGTGGTAATAAGGTTTTGTTTCGTGGAGTATACATGGGAGAGTCTAGTGTATTGTGTCACATGCAGACCTGATGTAGGAGCTGTACATGAGGTGTACATTTGGAATTACTCAGTGTACCCCCATTTCTCGGTCCCCCTGTTCCCTTTTGTTTTTCTCTCTCTTACAGTGGAGGTCTTTTGCCAGAAGCTGAGTGTGTTGTGAATCCACAGCCACCATGGGAGTGAGAGTTGTACCACAGCAGTGTTGTCAGGGAGCACAGGTTATCAAAATCCTTGTGGTCAAGGATTAGTACTGTTTAAAGGCTTTTCCTTACATGAAATGTGATTTGTTAAAGTAAAGTAGCATAAGCCCGTGTTTTGCTGGACAAACATTGATGTTGCAGACCATCACATATTGGGAGATAATTGCCATCTTCATTAGATTGCTTAATAGCAATCAAAGGTTTGATTAGCCTGCAGACTTTGCCTCTCCTTTGGATTGTTTCTGTAAGACACAGCTGACCACACTAGTGCATAGTGAATAGATGTGTGTTTGGTTTTCTCCCTGTGTTGAATAAACCTTCCAGATCACTAAATCCACTTCTAAATTTCTCACTTAAAATATTTAAAGCAGAGACGGGGGTGGGGCGAACAATATTTTTAGGGGAATTCTTACAATCCTTTTGATTAATAGTCTTCAAAGGAAGTGGGAGGGGAAATAAAAAAGAAAGAATGGAAAAATACCACACTAGCCTAAAATTATAATCTTTTTCTTTCTTGTCTGGAAAGTCTAATGATTTAAGAACTTTTTTTTTTAAGTTGCAGTAAAAACAGAATTTGAAACTCCTTTTTAAACTTAAATGAAAACACATTTTGTTTCCCCAGTTATGCAATACTGTTAAACTATAACAAAACTTTGTGCTGGCTTTCTACACCCTCATTTGTGTAAATAACAAAAGTGATTTTAAACCAGAAGCCTCTGTCGTGGTATCTCAAAACTATCGCTTCCCATTTTCAAGGGCTTTCAAGGTAGCAAAATCCATCCATTTGTTACAAAATTGTAATAAAATGGAGCCTCTGTCCCATTATGCTATATTTTATGGAGCTTTTCCTTGACTTAGAAGTATAAAACCCAAGTATGAGTGTAGGTATGGGTGGATTTGGTGAGCTAAAGAACATGAACTGATAAAAACACTGTCTTTAGTCAAAATTGCTTAAAGCTTGTATCTCAGAGATTTGACTTAGGACATGTTTAGTGGAAGCTGTCCAGAAACAGAAGATAGGCTTCGAATGCATGACAAGGCCACTGCTGATGGAACAAAGCTGCCTTTGTTAGGAGCAGAACACAGACAGCAGAGACTGTCTCTGCTCTGGGAGCTCACTGGAGTGTCTCTAACAAAGGGGACTTGATCTGAATAATTTGTGCAGCACACAGTGTGTTTGTTTATGAAAATGTCTTGTAAGGTGGCTTCAGAGAGCTCAAGTCTCGTACTGTGCGTTTGCCTCCGTGTCATATGGGAGTTCATGACTGACAGAACACAAAGCCACTGAAACTGCAGCTGGGGTCGGTGGGAGCTGCTGCCCTGAGCTGTCAGCTGGCAGGGATGCCCTGGGCCAGCTGAGAGTACTGCACAATCAATCTCACTAGTCAGCCTCCAGTCACCAGCCTGGTGCAAAAGAGGTCAGTTTCCCAAGAGCCTGTCCTGGGAAAGAGGAGTTACAGGGCAGTGAGTGAAATGGCTTCGAGAACAATTGGTCTGACAGGTCCAGTCACCAAATTTATAGGAGAAAGGAAAAGCATTTTGTTTCTCTCTCTGCCATTAGGCCAGCAAAAAGCTTCTGGAATGTCAGAAGATTAGCATTAGCAGAAAAAGACATAAAAAATATTTTGACAGGTTCTGGCTGTTTTTTAAATCTGTGTCTTGATTTTGGTAGGGAGGCCCACGTGGGTTTGTGGGGGAGGTTAATATATTGTCTGAGTATCTCAATTTAATTTTCTATGTGTAAATATTTATCCACATTTGTGGATTTGCATCACATTGATGACTTGGGACAGTGCATTTATCCTTGTGCTTCCTCAGATTGCTTCCTTCATGGTTTGTTCTGACATCAGCACTCATTGCTGAACTCCTTGGCTTTAATATCTAGGAAGTATTTGTTTAGAGGGTTCTTCTGACAGCTGAAAAAACTCCCTGGGCTGACCTGCACTGTTTCTTTGCCAATGACTGGCAGCGTTGGTAAACACTAACTTGAAAATAATGTGCAGTTGGTATTGTCATTCCTGCCCCAGTGATTGATCTGTGGTAATTTAGCTTCCTTATTGGACACAGGATTAGATGTATGACTTCAAAACTCAGGAACAGCAAATCTGAACAGAATCATACTCCCCTCAGCTCATCTTCTTGGGTGAACAGAATTTATGAGAAAGAATGCTTTTTGAAAAAACTTAGTTTGGAAGTTCTTATACGTATGTGTGCATTATATAATAATTTAGTAAATACCTGGCAGTTACCTGTACAAAGAGTGCCCTTGAAGAATATACTTAGTATTCCAGAAAATGCAATAAGCCTTTAGCTTCAGATCATTCAGTTAAACATATGGAAAGAACACCCCAAACTCACAGATTCCATCCATCACCTTAGATGTATTTCATGCTGTTTACTGCTGATAGCGAGCTGTGTGGGGCTGTCAGTGGGATGGGTTTAACTCCTAAAGCAGTTTCTGAGAACAGTCAGTGTTTGAATGTGACATTGGTCTAGAGCAGTAGAGAGAAGTGAAGTGTTTCTCAGTATGTTCCCTCCTGTTCCAGCTGTCCGAGGTGTGCTCAGTTTCAGATGCTCCTCTGAAGGAGTGCCTAAAGAA